CAGCGGGGGCGGCAGCGACCACCTCCGGTTTCGTGGTTTTGGTGGTGGTGGTAGAGGAGGGCGTGGCAGCATTTGCCGCTGCTCCGGAGCTTACCACTACCCAGGGCGTGCTAGTGACGGTGATCAAGTTTGCCGGTTTCGAGGGATTCAAAGTGGTGGAGAAGATGATCGGTGTGGTTGTGGCCGGACCAGTTTGAGCCAGAGTAGTTTGCTGTGGTCGCCAGGGCGACCGGCTGGGCAGTGGTGGCCGGTGCGGCGTGATGGTGATGATGTTCGGCCGAAGGTGAACGACACTGGCCGACTGCTGCTGCTGAGGCTGCTGCGACTGAGCTTGACGACCTGCCGTTGGCTGAAGCTGAGGCGGAAGTGAGCCGCCGCTTCCGCGGATGATGATCGGCTGGCGAGGGGCCAGTTGCGTCAGAATCGGCCGCGGATTGTTCAGCTGCGGCGTGGAGGGCGTGTTGCTGAAGGTGTGAAACTCCCGTGGTGGGGCGGTGTAGCGGCCCTGTGGAGTGTTTGTTGGAGTTTTGGAGCTTCGAGTGGAAGCAGGAGTGGAAGCAGGAGTTGAAGTTGAAGTGAAAGAGGAGGAGGAGGAGGAGGAGGAAGAGGCTAAAACTGCCGCTTCTGCCTCCTTTTCACCGCCCGCTGAGGGCTTTTTGATGATTTCACCCACCAACTCGATCTCATCATCATCATCACCATCACCATCACCATCTGCAAGGTCATCACCATCATCAAACTCATCATCATCATCATCGAACTCATCCTCGTAATCGTCATCAGCATCAGCATCATCAGCCACAAAGTCCTTGAAGAGGTCGTCTTCGTCCTGGTGGTGGTGGTGGTCTTCCAGCAGGTGGGCCGGATCGCCGCCGTCCTTCCGGTCGGTTATCATCGTTGCCGCCAGGGCCTGGGGGCCGGCCGAGGCAGAGGAGGACACTATTCGGTTTCGCCGGATGACCACCCCTCCACACCCGGCGGCCTCCGGCACGTGCTTCTGTTCAATGTGCTGCACCACCTCGCAGCGGTACTTGAAGGTCTCCGAGTGCGACGCCCAGCTGCACTTGAAGACGCCCGCCTCGTGTTCGCGTCTGCAAAACAAAAAAAATGACGGAAAAAAGTGTTGAGTTTTAAAAAAGAATGTCAAAATTTGGGGTGTCAAATTGTAAAAACTAATCAGCTGCTTTTTATAGCCCCGTGGTTACCTAATGTGCGAGTAGAGCGTGTTGTAGGTCTTGAAGGTCCCCTTCGTGCAGTAGTAGCAGTGGTAGCGGCCAACGTTGGAGTGGTGGAGGAGGTTGTGCTCGCCGATGGCGGCTCTAGAATTGAGGAAGAAGGATGATGATGATGATGTTGTTAGAGCATTTCAAAAGTGGTTTTTCTCCAAGATAACCGAGAAGGAAACACACTTACCGATTGGAAAAGTAGGTGTCCCGACAGCCTGCCCAGCACCGAAAGGGCTCCTGCTTGTGCACGTTCCTCATGTGCACCTCCAGCTGCTTCTTGAGGGGAAACTGCTGCCGACAGCTGTCCACCTTGCAGGACAGCGAGATGGTGATGATGGACATGCTGCGGCTGAAGTTGTAGCCGCTGGTGCCGTCGCCCAGGGGCGGGCCGCCCCCACTTCCGGTCATCAACTGCTGCTGCTGCTGCTGCTGCTTTCCACCATTTGCCAAAGGGTTGGAGGAGGAGGAAGAGGAGGAGGAGACTGATGAGACCTGAATTTGAGGCCGCTGTTGCAGCAGCTTTTGAGGCGCTCCAAGCCGCAGATGAAGCGGCGGACCCTGATTGGAGGGCACCAGGCAGATGCTGCCGTCCTGCTTCAGGTCGGCCACCAGGTACAACTTGTTCGGTTTAATCAGTTGTTTGCCGCCGCTGATGTTGCTGTTGCTGCTTGTTGAAATACTGCTAGGTGTAGTGGGTGAGCTACCCGTGGTGGTGGTAGTGGAAAGCAGCCGCAGATTGGTGGTTGTGGTAGTGGTTGAGAAGGAAAAGGAAGAGGAAGGGGAGGAAACTGTGGCCGGAGCAGGGGCTTTTGCTGTTGGTGGCGGACTGAGCAGGAGGGCGTTGCTAGCAGCACCGCCAGCAGCGCCACTGCCGCCGCCGCCTCTGATCAAGCTCATCGGCATCAGAATGTAATGCTGCTGTTGGCCGTCGGGCCCCGGTCGGCAGACTATGCTCATTCTCGAACCATTCTCCACCGGTGGTGGTGGTGGTGGTGGTTGTGGTGGTGGTGGTGGTGGTGGTGATAGGGGATTTTGACCTTCGTCGTCGTCGTCGTCGTCGTCGTCTGTGTCCTGAGGATTTGGCTCCGCTGGGAGTGGCAGGCTGAGGATGAGCGGTCTGCTCGTGGTGTTGGGCGTCGATTTGGGCGTTCCAGTGTTGATAGGAGAAGAGGAAAAGGAGGTAATTTGGTTAGCGGTTGTGACCGGTGGATTTGGTGTTGCTGTGACCGAGGTTTCTGGAACGGTTATGGCAGCGGTAGGAACAAGAGGAACCGAAATGGGCGTTGTAGTCGATCCCGATTCCTCCTCTTCCCCCTCTGATTTCACTGTTACCACTGCTGGAGAGCAGGAAGAAGGAGAAGAAGTGGTAGTGGACTGATCTTCTTTAGACCTTTTGTGATGCCCGTTTTTGGTCTTCTGCCCTTTCTCCTTGTCCTTCTTGGGAGTTTGGGCAGTTTCACCAGGGGGAGGAAGTGAAGGAATCTCGGTGATGGTTCCCTCCTCGATCTCCTCTTTGATGACTATGGTTCCAATGGGGAGAGAATTGTTTGTTGAGTTGAGAGCTGGAATTGAAGTTGGAGTAGAAGTTGAAGTAGAAGTTGTGGCTGAAATCGTAGTTGAAGTAGAAGTTGTGGCTGAAATCGTAGTTGAAGTAGAAGTTGCGTCTGAAATAGTAGTTGAAGTAGAAGTCGTGATTGAAGTTGAAGTAGAAGTTGTGATTGAAGTAGAAAGTAGAAGCTCGTTAGTTGAATGCACTGCTGCTGCTGCTGTCGAGAGGACATCGACCAGGAAGCTGCCTTCAGAAGGTAATTCAGCAGCAACAGCCACATGGTGGGAAACGGTAGGCTCAGTCCGCTGATGATAGCTCAGTCCTTCAGTAGTGATGGCCATTGATAGATTGGGTTCAATTTGAAGGGGATCAGGAACACTTGATGCCTTAGCACCTGTTTCCTCACTATTTTCTTCCTTATTTTCCCCACCTTCTTTGCCATTCAAACTGCCCTGTTTGTCGGGCAAAGATGAGGAGGAGGAGGAGGAAGTGGCCAAGTTGGCTGCCTCATCATCAACATCCGGAGAATTGTTACCAAGAGGTGGTGACAGAGGTGGTGACAGAGGCAGTGAGGCGGGCAATAGTGGTGATGGTGGTGGTGATGGCGGTGGAGGTGACGGGAGTTGGGGTAACGGGGATGATGATGAGAAGTTCTCCGCCGAGGAGGAAGAGGAGGAGGAGGAGGAGGACGTTGACTCGGAGCTCACTGACAACAGCATTGACTCATTACCAGTGGTCGTCGTCGTCGTCGTCGTCTTTGATGGTGAGGATGAGGATGACTCCACAGCAGCAGAAGTATCCTCAACACTGACCATGACAGCTTCATCTTCATCCTCGTCGTCCTCGTCGTTTTGAAGATCGTCGTCATTGTCCTTGTCGTTTTGATGATCGTCGTCCTCGTCGTCGTCGTTTTGAAGATCGTCGTCATCGTCGTAGTTGCAGCTCTCTCCCTCAAGAAGTTTGAGGTCGTTCTGCTCGTTCTGCTGTTGTTCCTTATCTTTGCCCTTATCGGTGCCCTCATCGATGTCAATTCCCTCCTGATGATCACCCCCGCCTTCTTCTTCTTCTTCAGTCAGAGTCGGCTCAACTGAAGTGGCAACAGCTGAAGCTGTTACCACCGCCGCCGTAGTCTTCGGCTCTAAAGGCGTCACCTGAGACGTCTCCTGAGTGAGAATCTCCAGGTCTCCAGTTCCGGAGAGGCAGACGAGAATCTCCTGAACGGCTGGCTGCGGCGGCGGCTGCTGTTGCTGCTGATTTTGTTCCGACTGTTGTATTTCTGGTGACTGCTCTTCTGCCTGTTGAGGACTGTTCTGGAACTTGCTCCAAAGAGACTTTTCACCCTCGATTCTCTTCATCTTCATCTTCATCCTCATTCTCATCCTCTTCTTCTTCTCCCTCATTTCAAAGGGCAGCTTGGCGCTCAGCTGCTCCCTCATCTTCTCCAGGCCGAGAAGCATCGGCTGCTCGGTGAAGAGCTCCTGGAAGAGGTAGTCCAGCATCGACCAGGGGCGAACCCTGCTCGGCTTCCTGATCTTCCAGGCGTCGTACTTCACGGTCTCGTGTCCTTGAAGACTGGGCTCGAAGATGTCCTGCGACTGAAGAAGACCTCTTGGGGGAGGATCAACAACGTTGATAAACGGCCCAGGTTCTTCTTCATCGTCAAGGTCAACGTCCATGAACTTCCGCTCAAAGGGGAATTTGTGGTTGTTGATCATAGTCGTGGGAGTGCTGATAACGTCCAACTTATCGAAAGACTTTTTCGGCTGCTGCTGCTGCTGCTGCTGCTGTCGATAGCTTTTGAGCCGCTCTTTTCGCTGAGAAGCACGTCGTTTAGCTTCCACCTTCAAACCTTTAAGCAGCTTTTCAAGGTTCTTTGTCCTCTTTTCAGATGTTGAACTGCCTGAAAACTGCAAATCCTCTTCCTCCTCCTCCTCTTCTTCAGGCTCTGCTAAAGAGTTGATCAAGTTGGAGGCAGAAGCTACCAGACTGCTGCTCATCTTTTGAAGGCAGTGCTCGAATGTGTACGCCTCAGTGGCTGTGTTCTGCACCTTCTTCCCCTCATCTTTGGCCTCACCAGTGGTTTCTGAAGTTTTTGGCACTGAGGAGGAGGAGGAGGAGGAAAAGGAAGAGGAGGAAGGCTTATCAAGCTCCTTCTCATCGCAAGTTTTGCCGCTGATGTTTTTGATTGAGCTGCCCTTATTCTCGTTGTATCCAACATTGATCTTTTCTTCTTCTTCCTTCTTTTGGACTGGAGGAAGAGTAGCACTAGTCGAGTCCTCTTTTTTACAGCTGTTGTTGGCGATGGTTGAACTATCCTTGTCCGTTTTAACCGGTTCAACTTTGTGTGCAGCAGGTGCTCCTCCAGTGAGGGACTTCTCCAGGTCGAGTTTGAGCTTATCAGTTGGAGCTTTTGAGTAAGTTCGAAGTTCTTTGCTTTGAGGAGACTGCTTCAGACTGTGATCATCATCCTTGGTGGAGGTAGTGGCAACGGCAGAAGTACTTGCCTTTTCATGATCATCAGTCTTTTCAGTCTTTTCGGGAAAGTTGAAGATGTGGTCCTCGACTTTATCCTTTTCATCCTTTTCATCCTTTTCATCTTTTTTATCGCCGAAATCGTCCAAGAGATTGAGCTTGTGGTGCACTGGTGCTACCACTTCCATCACTTCCTCGTCCTCTTCATCATCAAGGTCAATCACCAGCAAAGAGCCGCGACTTTTGGCCGCTGTCTGGCAAAGGTGAACTGGCGGCGGCGAAACATCCTCAAGCTCAAAGGGATCGTAAGCCAAAAGATGATGGGCGGTGGCAGTGCCGACGTCAAAGTCGTCAAGGCTTTTCATATCGAGGTTCATTCTGCGGCCGCTGAAGGCGCCACCGGCGCCTCCGCCGCCGCTAGAGAGATTCATTCCCTCGGTGGCTCAGACGGTGCCGAGGATAGTGTTTCTAATAGTGAAAAAAGAGACGGTTAATATCGATTTTAGGCTCTGATTCAATTGAAAAGGGACGGTATTAGTTGGTACACTTACCTTGGTTTGGCTGTGATAGCGGCAATGCTGGTGGTGATAGTAGTGGTAGTTCGGTAGCTGGGGCGTTCAGTTCAGTCCGTCAGCTAAGTAAAGGTTAGTGTTGAGGGTGTTGTGGGTGTCTGTGGGGGGAGTAGTGGTGGGTGTGGTTAGTCAAAGGGCAAGACAGTACGATCCAAGTCAAGGTG